AATTGACCAGTGTCCTCTGCAAGTTTGCACATTGATTATTATATCTGGGTAGACAGACAAACAAAAATCTACAAGATAAAAAGTAAAAAAAAATAATAAAAGTGATTACACACAGGAAACAGCTGTGATGGTTATTTCCAGAACATCTATACTATGGTCTTATCTTGAGTGGGTTCTTGAAGAAGAGGTGCACTGCTTAGCAAGACTTTAAGATGGGGAACATCCACCCACCTCGGAGGCTCTTAACACAGCTTGTAACAACTCTATGTACCACTCACTGATGTAAAATACCTTACTGACATAACTGTATCCTGTAAGCACTAAAAACATGTTAAAAGGTATAAAAACGACAGTAAAGAACAAAGCCAGAACAGCAGAACCCTCCCCAGTAGCATAAAACCAATGTCTACTTCAGCTTCTCCTCCTCTGTGATGGATCCTTCTTAGCAGTCTGGGCCCTTGTGCTCCAATGGGGGCATGAATGGATATAACACGACTTGAGTCTGCTGCCTTTGTGTTGTTGGACATGGTAAAGAGGAACAATGGGAGGCTTGGGTGAGAAAAATGTCTGACTCAAGGTTGTCCCTGCAGTGGACGAGGTCCCATTTCCTCCTGAGGTGTTGCACTCACGCGCTGACGGCATCCTTCTCCTTCTTGTCACTGTCTTCATGCCAGGTGAGGCGTTCCTCATAGAAGGCTATGACAATCTGTGGGCACTTATGATTAGCCTCCTTGGCAAGCACAAGATCAGCCTCTTCAGAGTCTTTCCTGTAAGACATGAAGACAGGCATTTGTCTTTACAATTAGTCCAAAACCGTGTCACAGCTGCAGGCTAAAGTGGATTAAAAGGTGACAAGGTGCAAACATATACACAGCAACATTTCAAACAACTGCAACACATGGTAAGTGGTAAGGCAGGTTTCTGTATCAAGTGTATGTTACATCATCCAGCTCCTTTAAATTATCTTTTTAGACCCAAGTCAAGCAAGTAAATCATATTCAGATTGTTTTTGTTTTGGCATTTCAGTGTACATGTTAACCAACCATAGTGTAAAAAAAAGTCTGAGGTGAGTGGAATCCCCCCCCCCCAACAGGTTTATAAATGTTGTACTAGTTATTATTTGCATAGCTTGCATAAAACTTAAAGTAGGCACCTGGACCTTTCGAATCTGTCTAAGACCTGGCTATGTTCCCTTTAATACTCCTATAAAACCTCAAATTTACTGACAAATCACAGGTATGTGCAACAGTTTTGATTCAACCAAAACCCTAAAACGGAGTTTGACCAGGCATGAGTGACGAGGTACGACATGTATCCATTTAGCTAATATGTAGTGACATAAAACTTAATGGTGTGACTTACTGTTTGTATATGAATAGACAGCTAGGCTATTAATGCTGTTAATGGGTAATTTGCCAGTAGCAATTTGGCACCTTGAAAGCTGTGGTTTTAAATAATGGTGCAATTACAAGTTGCAAGCAGCCAATAGAGGCAGCACCCTCCATGCCAAAGGCTGACACCCATAAACAAGAAGAGCAGCATCACCATTTTTTTTTTCCTCCAGAAGAAACCCAAAGTGCCTGATTAAAGCAAATGACCAATGTGCTCAATTCCTAATAGCTAGGAAAATGAAGTTCAGGGGTAAAATAAAATGTGCACACACAACCATGAAGTTTTTCACCAATAACTAATTACACTCAAATAGTACACCATTCTAACCACATAGCTTAAAATACACAGTGCACTAAAGCCTAATGTTGATATGCCACATTATTCAAATACATAATCTTTGTTAAAACTGTTATTAAAGCCTGAGATCACATCATGTATCACTTGCATCCGGAACATTTATTTACACATTCACTATAATAGTCAGTGCACATCTACCAGCAAAGTTCTAACAATTCAGAAAGAAGACAGTGCACCTGCAGAGAGACACAAACACAGGCCAGTAAAAACATTAATAGAATAGATTTCTTAATCTTTGTGACATACAAGGTATGATTGAAATACTGGTTATACAAACGATATGGAAGACGAGTGTGCTGTCATCTAGATTACTTTTTTCTTTTTTAAACATAATGCATTGCCAGGACAACCACCCAGACTCTGGCGTGCTTTCACTAGAGGACTACTGATTAAGTTTCATCTTATCAGAAATGAAAAATGATGTCCCATAATAAAGGATTGCCACCAATACTGAACTCAGGCCTTGTACATTGATTTAGTATTAAAGTCAATAATCATCTTCCAGGGTTTATCAAATTAAATTTAAGACTAAGAGCTTTTAAGACTACTGTGAAATGTAAGAGCTATTTCACATCCATATTGCACAAAAAGTCTGTGTAGAGTGGGCAGTGCCTTCGTACTCTGTTTATGGCCCAAGACTCATTAAAGCTGCTCTTCCTCATGCTGGGTAGATTAAGATAATTAGAAACAATTCAATTAACCATTGTGATCATTTTTATGAGCTATCAAAATTAAATTTAAGCATAAATTTGAGATTATTGGATTTTAGGTTTAAGACTTTTTAAAAGGACCCACAGCAACCCTTTCTTAAAATCTGTACATAAAAGAAGACCATGTCCAATAATAATATTGCTTGCCTTTTAAAGTGACTGACTTTCATACAGTGGCCCAAAACCAAGATCCACAAGCAAAGTTTGAGATAAACTTAAAACCTACCACTTCATAAGGAACATCAAGTCCCCACATGAGTCAGTTGCTCCGATTATCTTCTCTGGCTCAAGTCCTCTCTCAAAGCCACGAGCAACTAGAATATCATCCTGAGAGACAAAGCACAGTAAATACAATGTAGTATACAAAAATGCTGTAGTATGTTAAGAAATCCACTGCAAAATTGTAGACATATTGGCCAATACACGGATGATTTGACAAAATTCGACCTGCATTAAAACACATCTTGCATGTAAACTATTTGTTCTTCGGATAATTCCAGACTTTCTTCAGGAGAATTAACTCTTAATTATTATTGTCCATATTTTTATATATAAATAAAAGCTACTTTTTTTAATTCCGCCATAAAATCTGCAGATATGCCTACTATATGTCAATAAAGTAGGGTATATTTGGAAATGTTTGAGAGCAACAGTTTTTCTCCTTGTTTTAAAGGATGATACACCCACAAAGCGTTAACATACAAATAATTACTTTTCTAAGTCGAGATAAGCAATTGTTTCTCTGCCTTTTGTTGACTCTCCACTGTGCAATTCTCAAGGGAAAAAAAGGGTGTTAACCTCACACATGCAAATTATTTACAAATCTGATTAGGTCCTATACACTGCAGACTTTCAAATCTATTTTTATTTTGCTTTGGATGAACCATATAGACTGTATGTCCAACATGTTAAGCTTAAACTTGACAGCACTCTGCAAATCAATTACTGATCTAAGCAATCTAAAAGTTGAAAAAAAAAAAAAACTACTGCATTAATACATCACATACCTCTTTTTTCTTTTTGGGCTTACTTCCACACTCCTCGTCATCATCTGAGGCTCTCTTTTTTGAGGTGCTGGACTCTTTGGCGCGTCCTGAGGAGCCTGTGCTTGATTTGCTGCCCCCACTGCTAGGTGTGGAGCTCCCACCACTACTTTTCTTGTAAGTCTTCATGAATTCTGCAATGAGCTCAGGGCAGTCTAGATTCTTCTCTGGCTCCCATGTGTTGTGCTTGCTGAGGAAGACAACAGGCAACAAGTCAGTGCCAGTAGAGCCACAATGGTTAATCAATGACACCGACCTATGGACCGAGACAGATTGTCAATATTATGAAAATAAACCTGATATCTGTGATGTTCTTAATATCGTATTTTACCGCAATTCTTTTCCTTGTCAAAGTTACAATATACCAAGACAATTTTCTGGTGTGACTGTTATGCAACTGCTGTATCTGACCCGAAAAGCCAGAGAACACTCCATCCCTGCCTAATGATATCAGGGCTGCAACAACAATCACTATCCTTATCAATGAACACAATGAGAATTTAACCATTCGTTTGGTGTATACAATGTCAAAACTATTAAAATACCCATTATGTACTACCAATCAAAAGCTTGGACACACTTTTCCACTGAAGTGAATGAAGAATTGTTTCTAAAACTTGCCCAAAGCAATTTATTCAACTGGATACCCAAACCTAAGGACATTCAGTCCACTATCACGCGATACGAAAAGAATCAAATTCTCACATTTGAGAACCTGGAGCAAGGAAAGGGTTTTGGCATTTCCTGCTTGAAAGTGACAAAATAAATTAATTACCAAAATAGTCTTCAATTAATTTACTGTTGATCATTTTTTCAGCCAATATCTGCATGCTGTAAAAGGATATCCACCTAAACAACCATTAATGGAAGCTTTTCTATTTATTCCGAGTGAAGACCAACAAAACAACTCAATATTTAACTTTATCCATAACAAAGCACAATGCTGATGTAGCTTTAAGGCTAGTTTACGCAATTATTCGGATTTTGTGATTCGTAATGAAGAAACATGTCTCCCAGTGCAAGGGGGTGTTTCACTGATGTCTAATGTTATGGCACAGATAAACAAACTAATCCAGGCTGGAGACTGGTAGACATTAACCAGTGAAAATGCAGCTGACATAGAAAATGACCGGCCTTACCCTTTAAAATGGCAGTGGTATTGGACCAAGTACTTGTTAGCACACTAGCAAGAATACAACTTACTCTGAATATCCTTTCCACTTCAGGAAGAACTCAACCCTGCCTTTCACCACCCTCCTGTCCAGCACTTTCTCCACAACATATTCTTCCTCATCAGAGGATGAGGATTCCTCTTCACGAGACTTTTTGCCCATAGCAAAGATTGTAGGTAAGCACTACGCTGTTGCAGGCCAACGACACTTCCCTGTACAAAAAGAAACAAACCAACGATTGAAAGGATTTAAATGCCCTTTTCTTAATTTTCAGAATATATGTTCAACGAAAAGTAACCAAATAACATTAAACACAAAGGGGATAGTGTTATTTTAACGTTAGGTCTGTTCTAGTTAGCCGAGCTAACGCTAGATGCTGTAGTAAGGACTCAAGGAGGCATTGTCGTGTATTCAATGTGCTACGCGCACGACAGACTGAAAAATGCTTAACTGGTTGCGTTTGGGCGCCGTCCACTCGATGAAATGCTTACAATTTAAACGGTTTTATCAGGCAAGGTGCACACAGCAAGTGAAATAAACGTTAATGTTATGCTACGCGACCAGCTATCCAATGGGCACAAACGGCAAACTTGCTAACGCAGGTAGCATGTAAGCTAACGCTTCAATGAGCTAACACTAGCTAACTTTCATAGCAGACTGCAAACAATATCTGCAGAGGCATGAAACGCTGTGATGTGTAGATCATTTCTTACCCTTTGGAGAAGCAAACCCTGATTCTTGACCAGTTAACCACAATGACAATACGTTTCTTCTGTGATGCCAACACCGGGATTACTTTAGCATTTAGCTTTACTCATAAAAAGGTACTGGATGCTTGTCCCTGCGTTAAAAGCGCGCGTTAAAAGCGCACAATGAATGTACCCGCCCCTTGGTCAGCTGACGACCTACGGCTACACAAGGAATGCGTGCACCATGATGATAACTTAATTCCTCAAGAATTAGGAGGATGTCTCTTGTAATATGTTTGCATGATGTGCCTCAACATAACGTACTAATTAGATATGAACGTATGTCATGTTTTAACTGCCAGTGAAAGGAATATTGGCGTTTCTGCTAACATAAAGGCAGCCCCACCTCCACCCGCAAGTTGAAAATCATGAGAATACAAGATCAGTGATCTGCCGTTTATGATAGTTTGTCTGTGCATTCCCTCAGTACACCCATATTTAAACTCATGTTCATTTTATGTTTACGTACGTGAGAGAATCGAGTTCAAATCACAGTATCTTAGACAAACCCCATGACATCATAGAAGTCGTGTAAAATACACCATGACATTACCGCCTACCATCAGGTAATTGGAGGATGGCTATGATTGATTGAATTTAGTCCAATAAAATTTCTACAATCGCTAACGACAGACTGCCGCGGGAATTACTGGCCAATCGCCGTGTGAAAGAGGCGTATCTATTGCTATTTATTCTAGTGTTGAAAAAAGGGGCTATGCTCGTCTGACGCACATCGTTGGTATCAGATCAGTAGTTCGGGAGGCGCATTGAAGGATTTATTTTTAAGATGTCGAAAGACGTGAGTATCACTTCAGCAAAGTAATTTATTTCGAGGGCTTGAATGCTGTGTGCATGAACACGTTAGCTAGTTGAAGATATTAAGAATATTCGATGCACAATACAGACTGCGCTTTCATTAGAGCCGCTTCAGCAGGCATTGTAAGCCGCCATTTTGTAGTAGCTGGGCCTCGTGGCCTTTTGTTCATATGGTCAACTGTGTCAAAATTAAGGAGTTTGATTACAGGCAATAAACATTTAGTCAAATATAAACAGCACAACCCTATAATAATGCGTTCCTTAGTTTTGAGGTGGCATGCAATTTTAAGTTGTCATCTGACTGGTCTCCCAACATTAATGGCGGCGATGTCTCTCTTCTCCACCCTGTCTCGATGTTGTAACATCTGAGCACGGAAGGCTTAATAGCTGTTTACCGCGTGTGCAAACTTTAGAGCGTTTATTATGAAAATTTATAACGGAAATGGCACAGTGTTAATTTGATACAGTTTGTTGAATGTGCTCTAATAGTGTTTTGCTTTGTCCATTGTTTAGGTCCCACGTGAGCCGGAGCAGCTTCGCAAGCTGTTCATTGGAGGTTTGAGCTTTGAGACCACAGATGAAAGTCTGCGTGCTCATTTTGAGCAATGGGGGAGCCTTACAGATTGTGTGGTAGGTGGGATTATTTTAAAACTGCAACAATTGTTCGATCAGCGTAAAACTAATCTACTTTGCTAATTGATGTGCTCTTTATGCCGCAAAATAGTAATGCTTTTCTGTTTAACTCATCAGATATGAGAGTTTGCTTTTTCCTCCTTATTACCTCAAAGTTAATGAATGGTGTGTTTAGTGGGGTGTAAGAATTGTGGAAAGCTGGGAATAATTAAAGTCTCTCTCTTAAGGTCATGAGGGACCCCAACAGTAAAAGGTCCAGGGGCTTTGGCTTTGTTACATACTCATCAGTACAGGAAGTTGATGCTGCTATGTCTGCCCGCCCCCATAAAGTTGATGGAAGAGTGGTGGAGCCTAAGCGTGCGGTTTCCAGGGAGGTATGTTAAAGAACTGGATGTGCTATACCTTCAGTAGATGGTATTTGCATATAAATGAAGGGCAGGTATAGTTAGAATTGTCTTTGTTCACAGGACTCAAACCGGCCAGGTGCCCACATAACAGTCAAAAAGATCTTTGTTGGAGGCATTAAGGAAGATACAGAGGAGTCACACTTGCGGGATTACTTCCAGAAGTTTGGCAAAATTGAAGTCATTGACATTATGACTGATCGTAATACTGGAAAGAAGAGGGGCTTTGCCTTTGTCACCTTTGATGACCACGATTCTGTTGACAGGATTGTCAGTGAGTACAAATCTTTGGTTAAGAGGAGGGTGTTGATTTAAAAAAAAAAAAAAAAATTATTTAATTATTTGTCTTGAATGGCTACCTGATACCTTTTCCACCCCATAGTCCAGAAATACCACACAATCAACTCTCACAACTGTGAAGTGAGGAAGGCCCTCACAAGGCAGGAAATGCAGAGTGCAGGAATGGGAATGAGAGGTATGTGCCTATTATGCGGTTAATGGTATACGACACAGTTCACATTCAGCACAATCAACATGTTCCTCCATTATTAACTGGGTGTTTTTTGTTTGCTTAGGTCGCAGCAGTGGTGGAAGGCCCTACGACTATGACAGAGGTTTCAGTCAGGGTATGTCTTTATGGGTTGTGGGGTTCACATAATATTTAAACTGGCAACTCTGAGTTTGTGTGTGTATAACTACTGAAGCTTGTTTGCTTCTTGTCAGGTGGCAGGGGAAGATATGGAGATGGACCCTATAATTGCAATGGAGGTGATAGTGGTAAGTGGCCAGTTTTGTCAGGTTGAAGTACTTTTGCTGTTGGAAGCTTGACAACATGCTCAGTGGTTCTTTATTATGATGTTATATTAGGCTATGGAGGTGGTCCAGGCGGTCCTGGTGGATATAATAATGGTGGCAACCGTGGTTACAACCAAGGTTACAGCCAGGGTGGAGGTGGAGGTGGAGGCGGAGGGTATGGGGGAAACGGCTATGACAGCAACGGATATGGCAAGTGTATTTGGCTTTCTTAAACTATAACAAGTCTGGTTAAGATTTGATTAACTAAGTTTTGCACACTATTCCAATTGTAGGCAACTGTGGCGGTGGTGGTGGTGGCGGCAGCGGAGGTGGTAATAACTACAACAACATGGGCCATTACGACCCCCAGGCTTCTAATTTTGGTCCAATGAAGAACAATTTTGGTGGTGGTGGTGGAGGCGGCGGCGGTGGTGGCAGGAACTTTGGTAAGAGTCTAGAATGGAGACATCAGGTGTGTGTGTGTGTGTGTGTGTGTGTGTTTACACCATTCTTGGCACTGTAAACTCAGTGTTTTCGTTTGTACTCCCAGGTGGCTATGGCGGTGGCTCAAATAACGGTGGATATGGCCGTCCAGGACGATTTTGAAATGTTAAGCGGTAAGGACTGGGAAACGTGCCTTTTATGATTGATTTTGTCATAAAACCAGAGTTTGTAGTTGCAGGGAATCGTTAAGTGCAGATGAATTTTAAAAATGACTCTGGATCTCAGGTGATACAAGGTCAGTGCACGGTTAACAATGTTGTTCCGTATTGTTCAACAGGACTGAGTACTTAGGAGAGGAGAGCAAGGAGAGGAGAGCAAGCGAAGTGACAGGGCAGCTGCAGGTTTACCTCCTAAATCTGCTCAGCCAAACAGTTGTGGCAGGTTACAGCTGCTGCAAGAAGAGATGTACAGTAGATAAATCATGGAGGGTCTTCATTTAAACGTTTTGTTTTTTCATGAAAATGTGTTAATGGAAAGCAAGCATTCCAGTAAGGTTTTATGTAGATTTTTCTTTAAGTTTGGTTTTTATTTGTAACTGCAACAAATCAAGCTGAAATAAACAATCTTTCAGTTTTTTAAGTCTTGTTAGCCTCTTTAGTGTGTTGGGAAAGGGAGGGCTCATTATTAGATGCTGCTCAAACTGGGGATGAGGGCCATGTTTTACATAGCATTTCACAAGCCCGCTCCCCGAGGTGGTGCGAGAAGCCCCGTGCGAGTCACCCCATATTCCATAAGTCAATGCATTTTGTTTTAAATGCCTATATGATATGGGCTGAGGAATGAGAGAAGTGGTGCACAAATGCAGTCTTCACAAAGAGCCCATCACACCTGAGTTCTGCAGAGATCAACTGGAAGATGCTAGCTTACATGCAGTCTTTGAGGCTAGCCATGGAAGCCAGCTGAGGGAGAGAAGTAGCAAACCCATCGCCAGGATCATTGAAGCAGGGGGAGAGTGAGAACAGAAGCCTGAGGCTAGCAGACAGCTACCAAAAGGCTTAAATGGTGTCTGTAGGTAAGACCAGACTTCTCAACTACTGATGGTATATCTTGGTTTTGTCATGTAGCTGGTAGTGAGTTGTGTAGCCCAATAATGACATAACATTTTTGTGCAAACAAGTTACGACTTAAACCATTGGTATAATTTGCCTCCTACAGCAATGCATGCAGTTATTAAAACAACAAAAATACACTTGATTGTTTAACTTACTTGGTGTTTCTGAATTTCAGGTCATGCTACATTTGATCTGCAAAACCTGACATCATTTCAATGACAATGGCTCAAACAGGTACAAATCATTGAGACGTTGCACATCACTTTTTAATTGTTTATTTTCTTTAACCTGATTTCTGTTTTTCCATAGGTTTGCTGAACAGTCACGTTGGTGCTGAGGAGTTGTTTTTTACCCAGACTGAGGGCTGCTGTGCAGTGTTCCTTTTTAAATGTTTTATAATAAAATATTTTTTTACAAAGCACCTTTGTCGGTTGATAACTTGGCAAGTTTTACATTTGAGTTGTCATAACCACAGAATTGAACTTAAATTCCAGCCAGTTAAAATTTTGTACGACTACATAAACCCAGTTCTTCAGCATTGTTCTCTCCTTTGCGTAGTTGTGCAAGGTACCAAGTAAATTTTACCATCAGGTGTCTGTCGCAGGGCGTATTCATCTATTGAGTATGGTCGTCCATCTTCATCTCGCAAGTGAGAAAAGACTTGTGCATAGAGGTCTGTAAGACTACACTTAATGAAAGACAAGCTGCGCTGGAACTCTAGCCTTTCCTGTGCCAGCTGCTCTCTCTGGGCATGAAGCTGGTTCAGTTCTCTTTCAAGGTGAATTATGCTCTCAAGCTTCCTTTTCCTGCAGTTCTGAGCTGCCACCTTGTTTTTCCCTCTCCGTCTAATGTCTCTGACCAGTGCTAGTTGAGTGTCTGTCAAAGTATACTGTGTCAGTAGCTCATTGAAGTCATCCACAGGCAGATTGATGATCTTCTCCATAGGAAAGGGGATCTTCAAGGCCATTGCTCGCCGCTCATCTCTGCTCAATGAAACAGGAGAGGAGATGCTTCCTTGTGGTTTTGTATAAATGTGCTGTGAGCTCCCTCTGCTGGACAGCCCAGTGTCATTGTATAGGCCATTCAGCGCTGCAGCCTGCCCTTGCTGTTTCACTGCTCTTGGAGCATTAAGTTGTGTTTGAGTTGCAGCAGGCTGGGGTGAAAAGTAAGGATGTGCACCTGAGTGTAAATATGAGTGAGACGGACCCTGGTAGTCCATTGAGTAATGTGCATGTGCTCTACTGGCATGCTCAGTCATGCTTTCTGGTTCACCATCACTATATGTCATTCCTGTGTCTACCCTCTGGAAACCTGGTGCACTACAGACAGGATTATCTGGGGAGGCCAAGGGTGGACTAGAACCCAGAGACAGACCAGAGTCTGATTCCAGATCATCAGCTGAGCGAACGCGTGTGCATTGTCCATGTGTTGTCCACAGCATGTGGCGACCTAGACCCTGCGAGAAACCAGCATTGGCCCTCCTGTACCCTTGACTGGTACCTGACATGCTCATCTGTTCCTTAAGAGCCATTAGTGAGGGCTGTGTGTGAGAAGAGGTGGTCAGCATTCTTTGATTGAACTGAGATCCAGAGTGTCCATACATCGTCTCTGAGTTGTTGCCTTGACGATGACAGGCAGGTGCCTCTTCAGAGTAACATCCATTGTAATTGTCAGCAGTGCTGAGCGCACAAGAAGTGGGAGGAGCTTCAGAATGGGAATGAGCCACCTCATACCCTCCCATAGGGACCACAGAGTCCATGGTTTGATACTGGATTGTTTCATAGGACCCTCCACTGGGGACTTCAAACTCCTGTAAAAGCAAACAAAAAGGGCTCACCTAGTTATGATTGACAGGCCCATACATGTCACATTAACAGAAATAAAATGCACTCTAATACTGGAAGTTGGGACTATTGTGTTTTTATTCTAAGTACCTTAGTATTTTTTTTAGCACCTTTTCTTAATGTGGGCCTACCTCTACTTTCATCATGCCTTTAGTCAATTTTTTCATTTAATTCTGTACTTTTATTTTATTTATCCAAAACATAATTATTCAAATGCACTGTATAAATAAATTAGTGGAACCTTCCCCCCACACACACACAATTTATGCCATATAGCACAGTTTGCCATCAATTTGGCATACCACCCATAGCCTATGAAGGACTCTCAGAGATGTGATCACATTTCACCTGGATACAGATGGCTATTGTGCAGTGCAGGGGGCTGCTAGCAACATACAGTACTTGTCTCTTCTCACTCCCGCCATCACTCAAATAGCTCATTGTTGCATGTCTCACTCGAGTATGTATTAGTTTTTCAAAACTAAGCGTGACAAATTGGCCTATTCTACTGGTATAAAGCAAAATATTCTGTCTAGTGAGTATAAATTAATTATGAATTATTTTTTAGCCTTGACTACTACAGTGTGTCTGTGCTAAAGAGTTACCTGCAGCTCTGTGATAGCCATCAGCTCCTGCCAAGCCATATCCATCTCTGTGTCCTGAGCAGTTCCATGAGACCTGGCTCCAGGGAAATGAGTTGGCATGGACACCTCCCCACACAGCCTGCCTGGAGTAGCCAATACCTAGTAATAGAAAAACAATTTGTTTCTGATTTAAGAAAAAAAAATCTTCTAGGCTTGATTATGTGTTGTGGTTTCTCAGTTCCTAGACTTACCTCACAGGTTCTCCTGGGAGGGAGAGCATAGTTGACTGTTGAACACATTCAGAACAGGCTCTTGCTAAAAAAAAAAATCAACCACATGGATTAGTGAGTGGCTGTCACCCACCTAGCCTCTAAACTTTGACATGCTAGAAAGAAGAAGTATAACTTAAAAAAAAAACACTCACATTCTCTGAACCGTTAGTTCACACCATGCCTTCATACATTACACTACATAGCTGCATAAATGGCTGTTTGGGTGTTGTGTATATTCTTTTTGAAATGAAGGCTTCAGTTTAGTTGAGTTGACTCCTCCCAGCGGTACCAGGGTGCAGCTATGCCAGCCCCTGATAAGACAATCTGTGGGAAAACAGTGTATTCTAGAAGACAAGCTGGGGTCTGATGGCTGCATTGGAAATTTTGGTGTGTAGCTAGCGTGTGCAGTAATCATTTGACTCTTTTTGCTTAGCTAGACAGTTTTAGTGGCTCCAATTTGTATTTCACAATCTTTCAGTAAAAGATTTGTGAGTAAGGAGTGTCTTGTACATGCACACAGTCTGTGTTTTGTATTCTGTAGTGTATTCACTATTCAGCCATAGCAATTTATTTGCTCAGTTATTTTAACCTGAATTTTAAAGCTTAACCAGGGATGAAGCCACAGATTAGCTTAAGCCATTAGACAGTACATCTGTTCTTTTGGCACTTTATGTAAAAAGCTATATTTATCTATGTTGCCCTTGTTAAATAAGTTAACAAAAAATAAATAGTAAGGGTCCTTATACACCTTGGTGTGGGTTAGAATAATAATTTTAATTTCACCTTGTATAATATATATATAATCATATATATTGCAGAAATAACTGTAATAATTTTCCCACTTTATTCTTAACACCATGTTGATTCTGCTAATATTTTTGAGCAAGCAGGGGTTATCAATAAGTGTAAAAAGTGATGTCATCAAGTGGTAAAGACAACTTTGTGAAATGAGTTAGTGTCTGGGAGTGGTTGAAAATACAACCTTAAATCAGAAAAAGTTGGGAAAGTATGCAGAATCAAAATTTAAACTGAAAATAGTGATTAGTAAATCACCTGTGCTTGATATTACATTGAAAACAATACAACAGAAAGTTATTTGATGTGATACCCCATCAATTTCGTTCTTTGTTTATAATAAACACTAACTTCAACTCTGATGCCTGCAACACATTACAAAAATCAGTTGGGATGATATAAAAAAATGAAATGATAATTTGATTTCAAACAAGTGATGTCACAAGGTGACTGCATCATGATTTGGTACAAAAGTGGCATCCAGGAAAGGCCGAGCCCTTTAGGAGCAAAGATGGGCCGAGGGCCGCCAGTTTGCCAACATATGTATGAGAAAATTATTGAAATGTTTAAAAACAATGTTCCTTGAAGAAAGATAGGAGGGGATTTGGATACATCACCTTCTAAGGCGCATAACATAATTAAAAGATTCAAGGAGTCTGGAGGGATTTTAGTGTGTAAAGGCGCACGAGTAAGCTGGATGACTGTGCTGTCTGATCCCTCAGATGGCACTTCATCATGAATTGTCACTCTTTATTTGATATAACCACATGTGCTCAGGATTTCTTTGGCACACCTGTGTCAAGCACTACAATACATAGTTACATCCATAGAAAGAAATGCTACTTAAAACTGTGCTGTGCCAAAGGAAGCCCTATGTCAACAGTGTCCAGAAGCACAGTCAACTGCTCTGGGTCAGAGGCATCTGGGATGGACCATCACACAGTGGAAACATGTATTGTGGTCAGACGAATCAGTATTTCAGGTCTTTTTGGAAGGAATAGACGGCGTGTGCTCCAGACCAAAGACGAAAAGGACTGTGCAGACTGTTACCAGCAGCAAGTCCGAAAGCCAGGGTCTGTTACGGTCTGGGGTTGTGTCAGTGCCCTCGGCAAAGGTAACTTACGTTTCTGTAAAAATAAAGAGCTTTTGGAGCAACATATGCTGCCTTCAAGATGACATCTTTTCCAGGGACGCCCATGCATATTTCAGCAAGACAATGCAGAACCTCATACTGCTCACATTACCAAGGCCTGGCTGGAGGAAAAAGGTGCGAGTGCTGGACTGGTCTGCCTGTAGTCCTGATCTGTCCCCAATAGAGAATGTGTGGTGCAATTTGAAACGCAAATTGCATCAACGAAGACCCAGGACTGTTGTGCATCTTAAGACTTGTTTGCAGGAGGAATGGAACAAAATTACACCTGACACACTTAATCACTTGTTGTCTCTAAATGTCTTTTAAGTGTTATGAAAAGGAACGGCAACATCACACCGTGGTACATGCTTTACTGTCCAAACATTTTTTGGAATGTGTTGCAGGCATCAGAATCACAATGTTCACAGTGAGTGTTTATTTTGAACAAAGAATAAAACTGATGAGGTGTCAAATATTGTGCTGCTGTATTGTTTTCAATATAATATAAGACACAGATGATTTACAAATCACTATTTCAGTTTTAATTTTGATTTTATATACCGTCCCAACTTTGGGGTTGAATCGTTGAAGGTAGAATTATTTGAAATTTTAAAAAAGTTGACAATAAAGTAATCAAAGTTATTGTAGTTGACTACCAACCTAATCATAAACAACCGGCTATGTCAAACCTACATGTCACAGATTACAGTAGAGCTCTCTGCATGCAGCCTTTGAAAAGATTTTAATGATCTGCAACACTGTCTCAAATTTGCAAAAAACAAACATATTTACAAAAATTTGGTAAATTCCAGTATAGCAAATTTCAACTGTTATCAGGGTGCTACTTTAAACTGATATATTTCTTCCACCTTTTTAAATTCTTTCATTGCACTTCTAAATTCCTGTTACTGTACTACATTTGTGCTGATTAGAATAGATTAGATTAGATTCAACTTTATTGTCATTACCCATGTACAAGTACAAGGCAATAAAATGCAGTTTACTGCACATTAGGCTTATAGAACACTAGTGCAATGGGATGAGATGGGATGAAACAGTGCAGAATAAGAAGATAATAAGTTACATGAGTGAACAGTTCAATGAATGTAAATAATGCAAAGATAAAGATAAATATGGAGTATCAACATATGAACAGTGTGACTGATTATCTGTAAAAGGCTATTTTCCATCATTTGCCATATGTGAATTATTTTCTAATGATTTAAGATCTTGAAACATGCGGTTATAACTATTATATCCTGCTATAACTGGTGCTGTATTTGTGGTGAGTTTCTTGAGGCTGTTTCCTTTACTAAAAAGAGTCATAATTCACTGTCAGCACCAGGATATTTTATTCACTGGTTTGTATACTAAAATAACAAAGATGAACAGACTGAGCTGAATTATGCTGATAAAATTACATTTCAAACAAAATCAAATAGGCAGACATTTATGTTGAAATATAAAGAAATTTGAAGTATATGATTTGTGACTTGAATGAACTGCAATGATATAATTATATTGCTCACATGTTTCATTTTGTTAAACAATGATGTTGTTGTTTATATAAATATAACAAAGTGGGAAAGTTGTAACCTCTGAGCATACTGTATTCCTGCAAAACACCCAGAAAAGATCCAACAAGTCAGACGAAAGATGTGAGTGAACATACCTGAGCAACATTTCCTTTGCCTTCAGCGGGTGATGAGTTCAATAAAAACTTGTGATGGACAGTCCTGGTGGTAAGAACAAGAAAAAGCTGAGTAAAAGCAGATTCTATTCTTTTTTACATACGTTATGCTGTTGCTCACTTTTAACAGATCACAAAAAGTAAAACACACAAGAACTCCTGCTCTAACTCTTATGCAACTGTCTGTCTCTCTCTCTGTTCAGCCACACATTCAGGCACCGGCATAAATGGGATGGCTCTGTGCATACAAACGCAATCTTCCTGTAAAGCACCCACACCACACTTTTTTGTGCTCATATATCCTTAATAGCACACTTGCACACCAACCTCCAAATTTCCCTTTTGCCCACATGACAAACCACAAACCAAGAGTCTGGCATACATCACAGCAATCATTCCATCAGTCTACAGTGAGGTAGGTAAATGTTTATAAATCTGCAAGCAATGTTGATTCTAAATATAAAATGACAACATACATAGGTTTAGCAACTAAAATGGAGTGAAAACTAGCAGGATGGTTGTTTATGTCCCGGTCAATCCGTACAAGAACAATGTCCTTTAAAATCCTCCCAAAACGAAAGGTATGAGGAGTGCGGTGTGAGGCACCTGGAGTCAGAGCCGGCGTCGCAGTGAGGGCCCTGTTCAAGCAGGGGTGGGTTAGAGGCTGGATTGAGACTTAGTTTAGAGGAGAAGGAATGTACACTCTCCAACAGGTAAGAAAGACTACATTGTTCCTCTACCTGGCAGTGCAACTGCCAAGCGAGAGAGAGGAGCGGGGGAGAATGGAGGGGAGCGTGTCTTACATAGCAAGTGACCATTAAAATCCTTCATAAAATCCCCCTCATTGCCCTGATGTGAAACACTATGAACAGTAAAGCCACAAAGGCCATGTGTTGTGTAGAAATGCCCCATTGTGCAACAGCTTTCACACACAATTACTGACAGTAGAGATCTTGTATTTTATTGTTTCACAGAGCTATTGTATGCATGTTTAGTTTTATGCATTGCAGCACATACAGGAGCAATCTATTTCACAATGTCAGTGATGATTTTGGAACTAATCTGCATAAAATAGCATTAATGCATGAAATATTCAAGACCACTCATGCTCTGGAACAGTGTACTCTGTGTACAGCAGAGCAAATAGATGTTCTTATGTTGATGACATAATGAAACATGTCTGTTAATTTAACATCTGTGGCTGCAACATATGTCACAGTATTTTAAATAATCCCTGAAAAGTTTGTAAACTAAGGTAAATGCATGTTTGTATAATTACCTGGCTAGAAATGATGAGACAAGTGCAGTCATTTGCACATAGAACACAGCTGCAGTGTGCATCATATGCATGTCATGTGTTCAAATAAACATGGGTTTTGTTTCTCAGAAATACAAAGCTGAAAACAGATGTCACAATGACTTTCTTTGAAATTATATAGAAACACATAATGAGAAAGTCCAAACAAATCTCCAGTAAATTGTTCACAAGTATACTCAAACCACCACAGATATTTTAAATACAGTACATATATATGCAAATACACACGGTAGGCTACATATACAACCACTGTCAATCAGTTATTTGCACAAAATAATTAACAGAGGTTTTCACCTTCTTTACTATTAATAACCTGAAAAAGTTCATCATATTTTGATTCATTCAATTTGTCATTTAGAAATATAATACCAGCCGGCTGGGATTGGCTCCAGCACCCCCGCGACCCCGTTTGGGACTAAGCAGTATAGAAAATGAGAGAGAGAGAAAATAATAACATTTTTAAAAATGCAACAGAGGTTTTTTTATAAAGGGTATATCAAAACACATATGATCCATGAAATTAACTGCAGCATAAATATTTACTTATCCAGTAATGTAAGGTGTATGCTGATAAATACAGTATATGTAAACCTACATCTATCTGTCTATTGTAAATGCTTGCTCTGAATTCTGACCAGACAGTTTTTTAGACTTTCTGCAAGGCACTACGTATTCAAAAGCCATGAGAACATGAAAGGTTTTGTCTGGCCTATTCCAATATCACATCCCACTGAGACATACATCACAATGTTTTCTCTGTCTTTGTTCTAAGATGGAAAATGTAGGTGGCTGACAGAGTCAAGAAAGGTGAATGTCTACCAGGAATCAAAGAAGGGACTTCCCAACTCAAGTTCCTAGCACCCAGCCCCTGACTCAACCACTGTCACAGCATGCCAGAGAGCAGCCTGTTATTACTGTGACCACAGTGGTTTTGAATCTGGACACAGTTCCCAGGTCAACGCCCACATTCCTTGTTTGTGTTTGTTTGCTTCAATTAGTCTTTGACATCTTTGCTTTCCAACTTGGCTGAACATCTCCGGGCTGTCAGTCTTTACTTGGTGTGCACCCCCAGCGCTATGAGCAACTCAAATTTAAAAATAGACTGGCCTTGTTGGCAGAATACCATGCCACAGCTGACTCACTTAGGCTTACATTATCTTAATAACAATTGAATTTTACACTAGGATGTGTTAAATTTAACCTGATCTTAATGGTGTTCGTGTTTTTTATTTGTTTCACACCTACTCCGCATCCTGCTATTTGCATGGACTTTCATTTGTTCATTAAAGAAGGAGAAATGTGGTATCTTTGGTTTTGTCTTAACATCCAGTAAGCTGTATCAGACTGGAGTGGAAAAACAACCTCACTACTAAACAAAATGAATGTGTGCCTTGGGTTGTGGTATCAAAAAGGGGGTATTTTTGGAGTCAGTTTCTGGGAAAGGAAAAAATGCAGATGGAGTATTATGAAGTATATTTTTACTTATATTAATTATTATCTTGTAAACTTGATTTGAAACATAAAATGTTTTATTTAACTTACCTACCCATTATTAATATTTAATAAAATTAGTCCTGCAATTAAAGGCAACATTAAAAGGTTATATACACATCAGGTTCTCAACTGGAATGGGTTTGTGAATTTGATCAGCTTAGAGCAGATGCGCTGTGTGGCTGATATTCAGTTTCACATGATGGCCTAATCTTGTTCTGGACAATATTAAAGATGCATATTCACCTTTGTACATCTTTTTCAAATGATTGTACTTTCTGTTCAAAAATCTTCACTGTGTACAGTCCTCCTCAGTTTCTTAATATGTTTCTCATGATAGTCACATATTCTAATTACCTGCAAAAGAGAAAATGAGGAACCTGAACATGCTGCATCATTCTTCTGAAAGTCTCAACAAGACCTACGGTTATCTCCAGATGTTAAGATAAAGATAAAGGTTTTGCAACCACAGTACATTATTTTGTAATTAATTTCTGATAGCCTTTATGTGCCCCTTGATTCTTGTATTTTTGTCATAGGACAAATTACAAATGAAGAAAATATAAATTATTTTAATGCTGGTAAGTATTTGTGTGCATATGTGCACAGGCATGCTATTAGACCCCTGTATTCATATCAATGAAAGTCAAGGCCGGTTAGTACTGTAATACAGATACAGAGAGAGAAGCTAGGGAAAGGAAGATGTTGGCTGGCGGAAGCTCTGCTTAATGCTGATAAAAGGACCACTTGGTTCTTAGGAAGGGAACTGCTAACTGCTGTGGTTGCTGGCAGTAACTGAGCACTGGGGAGCAGCCCATACTATCTTAATTCTCCCTGTTGCTATACTATTAATTTTTACTTTTTTTTTCTTTGCAAGAAATATAACAGAACTAATGGTAAATATTTTCTGAACTTGAACACGAGATTTGTAAAAAACATTATTAGTCTCTTGAAATGTTTCTTCACATCATGCTTCATTGGTAATTTATTCTTTAAGGCCCTTCAACTATGAAAAGTAGGTGCATACATAAAAAAAAACTTATTTAAAAGAAAGTGTATGTCAATTTTTAAGCCACTGCCATCAGTACCATGCATGCACCATCCTGCAAAATAGCAGTCACTGTGTCCTCTTTATGTTCATTCATCATATACACTGATTCATCATCCAGCTTCTATTCATCACCATCACTGGTTGTGCTAGTTATCATCATCAGTGCCATCCTTTTCAAAACCATAAAGGTATGAATATGTTTGACTGTTAAGCTGAGATGACATGATGACAGTGACACCTGAGAAGCTTTTAATCTAATGTTAAAGTATGAGAAAGTTCAAGGTAGCATACAGTTTCCTCTCCAGCCAGGGTCATTTTGAAATCATTGTGGCTAAACTGTGTAAACAGAACATTGTATTGCAACATTAGTTTCACACGGTCCTGTTACGGACTCATGTCAAATAGTTTTTTTTTTAAGTTTAATAATTTTTATTTTTACCATACATATTTTATAGCTGTAGACTATTTGCTTTCAAAACTACATATTCCTGTATTATTTGAAACGCAAGAACAATAACATCTTACAGCAAGGTCAAACTGTGATGTCATTTATGGAGGGAGGGAGAGGGAAATCCCCATCATCCTGGGTTTCCAAATGCTTCCCAGAAGTGGGAACTAACATAATTGGGGTTGGTTAAATGTAGGAGGATCCTGAAAAAGATGTTGATGAGTACAAGCAAAATGGCTTGTAAATGACGGATTCTTTGTTACCATGCAGCACAAAAAAACAACAACCTTAGAGACCAAATGTATGATTCATAATAATAATCCTATTTAATTAATGAGCGATTTAATCTCTTCAATGAACCTTCATCATAGCTGTATTGTGGTTCAAGTCAGTCTTATTTATTTAGCTCAGTATCACAAATCACAAATCTGTCTTAATCTGTAAACACTCCTGTATAAGTTAGACCCTTGATCTGAGTAATCACAAAGCAGCCCCAAGTTAAATATTGCTCCAAAAATCTGTGATCTTTTTACCACAAAGTTTGCTTGGAAACAACATTATAAAGCACTCTCTTCTGCATGGTTGTTTAGGTCTTTACAATGCCCTAAGCCTACGACAAATATAGGAAAAAGGCATCTTTCTGGTCTCTACACTGAGGAAGGACTACTGTATTCCACAATAAACAAAATGCTTGAATGGTTTATCTGTTATTCACCACATTGTGAGTGAAGATCCTTTGAAAATGTAGCTTTGCAAGGTACCAATTAATTTACTCTGTAAGATGTTGAACTACATCAAAGCTATGTTAGGGAGAAATCTAGTTTGGTTAAATAAAGCTACAAACTATTTAGTAAAAAGGAATGTACATGTGATATAAAATTATAACAAAATATAGTACAAATCAAAGAATCACATACGCTTTTCACAAGTACAACATTGCAAGGAATGTTCTATTTTTGTTGTAAACTGATGTAGATATTGTATCTGTTCTGTATGCTTTTGTATCTGACTACAACTAAAACAGTAAAGAAAAAATATTTAACTTGCAGCTTTTTAGACTGTTTGAGCACTGGTCTAAAAAATGGTCCTGTTGTCATCCTTGTCATTTTTGTAATGTCTGACTTGTACAGTCTTAACAACTAAAACAGTCTTCAATGTACACATTTTTAGACAGTGTGAAGAGCTTGAACACTGTCTAAATAATGGGCCTATCTTTTTACTTGTCAGGGCATAATCTCTTGTTTATACAACATATGAGTGGTCTTAAGTCTCCAGTTCTTATGCAGAAGGCGGTTCCATTTGGCACAAAAATGTCCTTGCCCACGCTGAAAAGCTGCTCACATGCAGGATGGTAAAATGAAAAAAAAAAAAAAAAAACACTAGAATTACCACTTTGTGGTTGTATGCCTCCACCAACCAGTCAAATTCATGGAAATGGGACAGACATGAGGTCACTGACAATGACCTTTGACCAACAAAATTTAATCAGTTCATCCTTGAGTCTAAGTGAACATCTGTGCCAAATGTGAAAAAAATAAAATAAAATAAAATAAAATTCCCTTAAGGTGTTCCTGACATACTGTGTTCTTAAGAATGGACTGGACAGACAACTTCTGACTGTGCGTATCACTGGCACAGAGGCATAAAAACCTTTTGTTCCCTTCTATTGCCCAAAATTATTTGTAGATTCAACAGTTAACTACGCAAAAATGGCAAAAAAAAAAGTAATTTAACTACTTGAGTCACAATGCAAATGTGGACGTAGCTGAACTACCAGCAAAGTAGCTAAATGTAGTTCACTACTAGGTTAACTACATGTTCAATACTCCCCAACACTGGTTACGAGTAGTCTATTTACCATTATTATAAACTAGATGAATCATCTGCCACATTAGCCAACAATAATAATTGAGCTACTTTCAGTTAATTTCAGACTTCCACATAAAAACTAATTTAATTATCTTGATGGCTATCTCCATGCTGGGTCCCTGGTAGTTAGCTGCACCCTTCCTCAGCAACAGAAACACAAAAATAAGGTTTGTGGAGAATTTACAAAGTTTTACTTTACTAGAGGGACATTATCAAGTTGCAATTTTCCCCAGTGAGGAGGCAAAACGTGATACGGGTGCAAGTGAGCCTGAACTCTATGGTTAGATACATTAATACACTTTCAACATAAATAAAATCAAGGTTAATTTCTGCCTAGCTCCACCACGGACTCTGTGTCCTGTACTGGTATTGAGATGCACTTTGCTCTGTGCGTACATACATACATACGTAATACGCAAGGCTCTGCGTGAGCCAATAGGAAAGAGTCTCATTTACTATACGTATGACCTAGGCTACTGCTAGCCTTTTAGCTGATTTGCTAAGAAGAAAGAAAATGGATTCTCCCATACTGGTAATGTTAATTCTTTTATTTATTTGACACTGCATGTGCGTACTCTGTGCGTTCAAACTTCCTTTGTAGCCATTTCAGACAGACGTTTGTCGAGAATTGTATCTCCAAACTAAATAGCTAAATATTGTAGTTTAGCTATCGAGTTAACTCGACATGCTAACTAACGTAAACGGGTTGGCTAACCAGCGCTAGCTACTGCGTGAAGTTAGCTTCTTGTAATATGTGTTTGTTGATGATGTGGAACTGTCATGTCTTCCTAGTGAAGCATTGATTTTCAGATACTATCATTACATACTACTGCTACTCATATTGGTAAATCTGGTCGAATTATGTTAATTTCATTAACGCTGCCCTTTATCAGTAGTTAATTTTTCGATAGGCAAGATATTGATGATTAGACTTGTACCGTTATCGAGAAAACTTAAAGTCGGTGCATTTTGTTTGCTGGCTTACCTTCACAGGAACCATCCTTGTACACTGTCAAAGCAGTTCTGATTCTGGACAACGATGGAGACAGGCTTTATGCCAAGGTATGATTGTTGTTACTTACAGTAAAATTACAGTTGGTGGTCATTATCCTGAAGGCTTGTCTAGCTAATGGTCTTGGCCCAGATCAGTCGCATTATCTTAATAAACCGGTGTCAACCATGAGTCATTTTTTCCAGCACTCATTAATATGTTTTATTTCTTTTATTAAGTAAATTATTTAGATAAACATTGTCTTGATATTATTTATGGACAGATATCACTTTTCTGTAAGTGAGCAGCTTGTGTGTTCAATTATCATAAAAAGGACCTTAGAAAAACCAACATATGAATTGGATATGCTGTGTTGTAAAAAGAGATTAAAAACAATGTTAATCTGTACACAAGGTACATTACATGGATGTATTTATTGGGATTGACATTGTCTTTGTATTTGTACTGTTAACTACAGATTTATGAAAAATTATATAAAACTTGAGATTACTATGAAACTTAAGTCTATAGCTTTCATGAAGTAGAATTATTTTTGTTGCAGTTTTTCTTCTGCTCCCTTTAAGGATAAGTCTGGTAATATTTTCTATTTTTCTTATCATAAACAAATGCTATGAAAAGGTCAATATTAACGATGATTTGATCCTACCCAGTATCACCTGTAGGTCAAAACCTGATTTAATATAGCTGATTTCACAGTCGTTGTCCAAAAGCTATTAAAAACGCATCAAAGAGCCACACTGTTGTTGTGACATTTTCATCACCATGAACATAGGCTGTGTGGTTTGAGTCAGTTCCATATACGATGCTGTAAATACACTAGTGCACCAAATGTAAAGCTGAAAATGAGTCATATTGGAGTAGGTGTTTTATTGATCCCACAGTGGGGAAATTTCTGCATTATTATTATTGATAATAAGGAGTTGCCACAAGTTTTTGATGCACGCTTAACACATGCACATTCTGTGATTATGACCCTCAGCCCACGCTGTAGTTTGGGAAGTCAGAAAACAATATACCTCAAAATTGTACTTAAGTAGAGTACTTGAGTAAATCTACTGAGTTAATTTCCACCACTGCACCACTGTTTAAAACAGATTTTAAAAAGTATGAGTTAACTGGACAGTAATGTGATTAATTGCGATTAAATATTTTATCACCAGGCTTGTCTTCTAATGGAAATTAAAGTAAAAACTAATTCAAATGTGATGTGGGTTATAACTTTAAATATCAAAATTTCATACCTTCTTCAATTTATATGTATCTACAGTATTATGACGATACATACCCGACAGTGAAGGAGCAGAAGGCGTTTGAGAAGAACATATTCAACAAAACACACAGGACAGACAGTAAGATATGTTTGTCAGTTTAAAGACCTTCACTTTTTTTGTTTTTTCTTAGTATGTGTTAAACTACATTCATGTTTTCTTTGTTTTGTTTTGTCTGTTTGTGTGTGTGTGTGCGTGTGTGCACTCAGGTGAGATTGCATTACTTGAGGGCCTCACTGTTGTTTATAAGAGCAATATAGACCTGTTCTTTTATGTGATTGGAAGTTCACATGAAAATGAGGTAAGTTTAAGTTTAAGTTTTTTTTATTTTAGTTATTCAGTCATAGGAGATCAAAAGGACAGTTTTTGTGTATTTATATATATATTTGTGTTCTACCATATATTGAATTACAGTAACACATAGCCTAACTTGTACAATTTTTTTTTTGTTTTAAAATTTATCGTGCAGCCTAATGTCATAATTGATCATGCAAGTGCATTTTTAACCTATTTGAATTTGAGTTACCATTAATTCCTAGCCTGGTTGCCATTAAATTCTGTTTCTTCAGTTACTGGGTATCAGTTACAAAGGTATCAGATATATAAGTTCAGATCAAAAAACATATTTTGTACTTGTCATACTGAATTTTATTTTTCTATCTGTAGTTTTGATCATTTCATTTCTAGCTAATTCATGCTCTTTTGAGCTGAGAAAGAGTTTTGCCTCTTGCCTCAGATTATTTGAGTTTTGTGATACAGTATATATAGAAACTTTATCAAAATATTTATCAGTGTGATGAGCATGTCGAGCTAAAGACATTTAAGTCTTGCAATTTCTTTTTATTTTTACAAGAGCTGAATACTAATTTTGTAATTATTAAAGTAATTATAACGTCTATAAAATGGAGCATTATATTTTTAGTTCTCACATTTGGAGAAAGTGCCCGCACACTGAAAAAACAACAGATATGCAGGACATGTTGTAGATTACATGCACCTGACTTCGAAAGGCCTGAAATTAAGAGTGTGAACCCTGCAACAGTTATTTTTGTTTAAATATCTTATTTAGTTCAAAGCTTGTGTGGGCAAATAAACAGTTTAGAGTTTAGAGAAGAAATTGCATGCCTTTGTGTTACAAAGAAAACACTGTGAACCCCATAAAATAATAGTGATAAAAGAGCTTTTATTTGTGACTCTAATGTATTCTTTTATTCTCAACAGCTTATGCTTATGGCTGTTCTAAACTGCCTTTTTGATTCTCTCAGCCAGATGTTGAGGTACGTTTTGGAAGCTGTCTGTATTCTGCAAAATGTCTGTATTCTGTCTGATGCCTAAAAAGCAAAGCCTAACATGTATATTTGTTCATGCTCTGTAGAAAAAATGTTGAGAGGAGGGCTTTGTTGGAGAATATGGAGGGGCTCTTCTTGGCAGTGGATGAGATTGTAGATGGAGGGTACGTTTGAACTGAGCAGCTTGAAACCTTTGTTGCCAAGTCATCTGTTGTTAAAATTTCAACAGTATTAGTGCAACCTTTTTTCTGGCATTAGTTGCTGCTACTCTGTCTCTTTGCTGCCAATGCAGGGTGATCCTGGAGAGTGACCCACAGCAAGTTGTGCACCGTGTGGCGCTTAGAGTAAGTTCCTCTTCCCCTCCTCTCAGAGGTATTCAGCTAAGTTGGATGTTGGTTGTATTATCTCTAAACATACTTATTCCTGTAGGGGGATGATGTGCCATTGACGGAGCAGACAGTCACCCAGGTGAGGAAAACATCTGTGCCTTGATCTTCTCCCTGCTATAAAGTTTAAAAGCTCCATCAGTTTATTGGCTGTTAAAACTTCAGGACCTGTGAATACTAGGGCAGTGTTATAGCATCATTCTCTGCATCTCCTCCTTTGTCAGTCGCCTCTAGGTTGTTACATTGTCCCATATGCAAGATTATATGATTACCATTTATTCAGTGGTAAGATGGTCAGTAGCCCACAGTGGTTGATGTGTTTGAGTTCTTACACAAGTCTGCCTGTATGTGAGCTCCTCTTGATTAATGTTGTCATTTAAGAGGCTCAAGACTGGCTAACGCTGTCGCTCCTCTGGCCATGATTAATGGCTGTTCTCAATCCCCATGTTTTATGGTTATGATTCAACTTTCATTATGTGAATTAAGATGATTAATTAGAATCCTACATATTTCTCTTTATTTTCATCACTTGTTCATCCTTCTTTGTTCAGTTTTGTTTGTTTTTTTACAAATTATATGAAACTTTATACCATTCAAAGACATCACTTATTTTTCATTTTATATATTTGATGTTTTTCCTCTAAGGGGTTATTTCAGTACTGTAGCCATTCTTAAGCTTGATTTATGGTTCCGCATTGAATCTATGACATAGGTAATACCTAGTCTTGCACCCTATGCCGTAGCCTGACATGCAACTCTCCAGAAATGTAACCACACGTGGTGATGCAGAGCTACTTGTGTAGCCTGTGTCATGGGCTCAACGTAGATTCAGCACAGAGCCATAAATCAAGCTTTACACTGGTCAGCCCGTTTTCTTGTTGGAGTGATCTGCTTGGTCAAATCTAGTTTTCCTCCACAGGTTCTTCAGTCTGCCAAAGAACAGATCAAGTGGTCACTTCTACGATAGTCACTCCTGCACCACTTCATCTTTGAGCCGCTGTTCAGCCCAGTCTTCATGGCACTGGTTCTTTTCCTCCAATTTCCACTTACAAGTGGACTACTACTTGACAAAGTTTTATCTCCCAGCTTTATCTTTGCTCTTTCATTGTATGACATAATCAGGACAAGAACAAGATATGGTGTACATTCCAGTACCAGGGCCGGCCGATTGTGTTTCTGTGCCCCCCGCTGTCTCCTTGAACAATAAATGTATTACCCTGTCACCTTTTCCAGATTACTGTACAAGGTATTGAAGCACTAGTTATATTGTTTAATTTACATGAATGTTGTGATTTAAAAAGTGTACAACAAATACTGCAGTCATACCACTGATCACAGCAGTATTTGTTTTGCCTTTGTTTTGTTCGAGCATTTTCCATCTTCAAAAATGTTTAATAAATGTTTAATCACATTGGCATGTGAAAAGTTGTAATATGTTCCATTAAGTCCTCTAGTGTGTTTTGAAGTTTGGATTTGTTATTTTTGTTTTATAAATGTCATGACCTGTGGTGTAACTTTTATAATTTAAAATAATTTTATATATAGTAGGCTTTAAATGGGTAGTGTTGACTTACTGCGGTACTGTGACCCTGTTTGCTCGTCCTCTACAGCTGAACATGACTTGCAGGCACTAGAGCAATGGCGCCACCTCCTGGCAACTGGAGCCAAATGCAAGGTGTAGGTACATGAGTGCTGTAGACAGTGATGTCTCCAGAGAGGGGAGCAGACTTATTTGTGTAGCTGTGATTTGGTACTTACATTGTACTTTGACATACACATATGTTTTATGGAGTCATATTTGATTTTATAATTTTTAGTTTATAGAGAGCAACTGTGTATTATGAATTGTATGTATGTGTGTGTGTGTGTGTGTGTGTGTGTGTGTGTATATGTATATGCACGCCCTTACCTCTTACACTCTGAATGCAGATTAAGATGCACTCCCCAGAGAACTGGATGTGAGAAGAGGCACTACATCATGTTGGTACCTAATGAATATTACAGAAGAAGGAATGATCTATCTGCTTTCTTACAGCTAGGTATTCCCTTATATTCTTTTTTTGGTCATATGAAGGATTATTTTTCCTAGCACAGATTTGTGTTGGTTGTGTAACACGCACATCCAACCTCCCAACCGCATTGCCCGTGTCTGTTCCTTTCTTGTCTTTACAATAAGATGCCCCATCTTACTGTACTTGGCATGTTGCGACATGACTGTTGGCCAGGATCAAAAAGTCGTTAAGCTACCGTTTGTAGCTTTTTCACGTGTTCAAGAAGGCTGCCAAATTTCTTTATCCACATCTAAGTGAGCCATTTCGCTTAGATTTCAAAGTATTATAGAGGTAATGGTCAGTGGTATTGATGTAGAAATGTAACCTGGAGCAGTTTGTGGAAAAGATCGCACAGAGGTAATGTTAGAATTCAGAAGCCAAATTTAAGCATTGTGCCATTTTTTTTTTGCCCTATGGAAAATTTCATACCTCCTTCACTGGCAAATAATCAGGTAAACCTAGTAGTGCTATGCAGAGACAATTAGGGGAAATAAAAATTTTTTTAAATTTTTACTGTTTTTTGCATGTTGTATAACCAGGTAACAGTGTGCATTAGTGTTTTTGCTCCTGGATACATGCATGCTGGTTGATGTTTTCCCATACAACAGAATGTAGTCAGTGAAGCTGTTATTGGCTCTGACCTGTGGACCCGTTGTGTTGGCTTTACTCCAGTTTGATTCAGCCCTTTCATCTGTGGCCCTGTAGAGCTGCAGTGATGGCATGAATAGAGGCTATTTTGGTGCTACTTCTTAAGTGTTTTACTAGAGAAAGAGCCGTAAGAAAGGGAACTGTAATAATTATAAATGGATTCCATTATCGTAGCAGTTTACTGGTGCACCAGTTCACTTCTGTAATGAGGACAGCTTCTCTCTCGGTGTGTGGTGCCACTGAGGGGGAGACACATTAAGGTTAAAGAGGACAACTTTAGCCGAAGTAGACAGCAGTAAATGTGATTAGATGAGATCCTGGTGTGGGTAAGGTGGGGGAAGAGAGAGGGTTAAAAGATCCCAGGTGTCTGTGCAGCGGCTCACTTTTCATCTAGATAACCCTGCAGCACCATTGGCAGCCCAGTGACTTGCTTTCATCCACTAATTACAGTTGCACCATCATAAACAAAACAGCTAAGTAATTTATATTAATTATACAGGAATGAGTATAACAGTTTGAAACGCCGTGGCTTGACATGCTGTACATAACATGCAGTAAAATTGTCAGACGTGGACTAGAGCCTTGTAATTGATCGATGCATATAGTAAAAGACACTCTCTTTCTCTCGTGTGTGTGTGTGTGTGTGTGTGAATTGGACTCAATAAATTATCATCATCTGTAAGCTTACAGAGCGTTTATGTCATGGTCAATAGGCCTGAGCACCCATCCAATTGCTTGTCCTGCTAAAGAGAAGTGGCACTGAGAAAAACAACGACAGTACGTTTGATCCAGTATAGTGAACATATTAAAAGAAGTGCAGTTATTGTCTGAGCAGGACAAAGGGCATGACCCACATGATGTATAATGACCCAGTGTATTAAAATTAACAAGGCCATTTTACCTGTGCTGCTATCACATTTCCACCCTGTAGATGATGGTGAGATTTAACATAATCATATTAAAGCTACAGTATGTAACTTAAGGTAGCACTAGCATGAAACTCCAAATCAATCCACTCTGCTCCGGCCAGCGCGACCTCTCCCTGCTCCACTGTGCTCTACTTCGATCTGCTATACTCCTCCGCGCTCTGCCCAGCTCTTAAGATATTTGTTGTTATGAAATTACAATAAATGAGAATGCAAAAAAACTGAAAATCTCCGATTTGTTACAGAGGTCAATCCTCCAACCTTTTTAGAAGCTAATATCTCTGCACCACTGCCAATGCTGTTCAATGAGTTTGGGTCAAAGGATGATTCAACAGCACCTCCTCACATTAAGACAGGTTTTGGAACATATTTCTACCACAAAACTATTTGAAAAAGGTAACATACTGTAACAATATTTGGGAAACAAGTTGAATACTGTAGTTCTAACATGTTTGCAAAAACAATTTGAAATAAAATCAGCTCTTCTATTGTCTGTTGTTAAATTGCATTAAGTCAGTTTATACATTATTCAGAACTGCTCTAAGCTCATGTGGTGTGTGTGTGTGTGTGAGAGAAAGAGAGAGAGAGAGAGAGCACATGCATAGAGGAGGCAATATGAGCCTAGGCCTGCTCCCTGTGCCTCGGCAAGCTGATGTGTTTTATGGCCCCAGTTGCCCTCTCCGGGTCTGTTTATGGATTCCCATAGAATAGAGAATCATGGCCACTCCAAGAAGACTCGGCCAAAAACAACACCTCCACTGCACTCCTGCCTGCCTTTGCCATAACTCAACATAATGTTTATGTTTCTAAAGAAAAAAAGTATTCATAGTAATGACATAAGATGGCTAAATTCTGATGCTAATGTTTAATTTTTGTTGTTGATGCAAGATAAAAATGTCACCACATATGTGCCTAGTTTATTGGAAGTCGTTACAGGTTGCTGAAAAAAGACGTTGGCTTTGTTAAGGGAAAGCTTTTTTTTTTTTTTTTTTAGATTGGAATAGCATTGCCTTTGCAGGACCAGTTATTTTATGATACCTGTAAGATTTATCACATGGAATTGTTTAACTCTGATAGGATAATGAAAGTGCACCACCAAGGGCATTGTTAATCGTGGAAATATTCTACCTGATGTGTTTTCCCTCTGCTGTTTTCCCCACAGGTTCGTCTTTCCAGTGCAGTGCATTACTCTTTACTGAAAGCTTACTTTAGAAGAGTGATAATGGAAGCACAATGCATATGAAAATACTGTCTGGTCTAAACAGGCACTGGGTGATACAACAAGGCCATATTGTGTTTTTTGAGGTTTGATGGCAAAGTAAAATCCTCAAGCATAGTTGCTCAAGTTTAGTGTGCCCCAGGGGGAAACTCCATCATCCTCTGAAGCTGTACAACTGGGATACATCTGTTTAGTGGATGGTGCTCAGCTGGACTCTGGCAGACCTCTCCTCCAATACCCTCACAGACAGGCTGAAATCCTGGGGCATCCCTGCTACTGATGGTGCTGTGTCATGGCAGTAAGAGGTTACTGGTTTATTGCTGTTATCAGAACAGTCAACACTGGGTTTGGGTATGGCAGTGATGCTAAAGAACACTAAAGAAGGGTCATGTAGACAATCGGCATCACACATCGCGTGCTCAACTCACACAGCATCCATCAGTTTGTTTTTCCTTTTATCTGACCATGTTTAGTCATATTGTACTCCAAAGATTCCTCCTCACGCCTTCTGCTGTTTCTCTACAGTATGTGTGGAGGTTTGCAGCAGCAAAAGAAAAAAAAAAAAAAAAAGAAGAACAAAAAATGAAGGAAGCATAATGCAGAATACAAAAGGAACACATTACAATGTAGAGAGAATGTATGCTACATGGGAAGCTACGTGATGATGAGTTCTCTCCTTCCTCATGTTGGAAAAATGGGGGGGGGGGGGCCGCGTTAACAGACACGACCCTGACAGATTTACTGCCATCGTCTTTCCATTGGCCGCCAGCGCGACAGCTCAGAATTAACATTGCCTTCTCATTGGCCAAGACCTGACAGGTTAATTTATGAGTGCACTGTGATTTGATGCCTACTGCCTTTGAAGTGAGTTACCGCTCTGTGGCTTATAGGACACAGAAATGGTGTCAGGTTGCAATCGTAAAATCTTTTCCCTGAAGGGAGGTGGCGCTGGAGTGTAATAGTCCTGACATCATGAGAGGAGAAGATATCCTACCTTTTTTGTGTGAGCACGCAGGAAGAACAGAATACATGTATAAAAAAATATAATGCTAGGTGTCTATCCAAAAATGCTTTGGATGCTTTACAACATATTCTGTTGCCAAAGAGAACAGACAAATGCTTAAGATAGAAATAGAAAATATGCATCCATCTTGCCTCAGATTTGAGTTTTTTCTAGCTGAATGTGAATGTGCATTGCTCTAACATGTATTTCTCACCTCATTCCTTATCTCTTACGATCAACAAGTAACTTTGGCGCCTGACTACTGTATCCTCTCACTGCAGCCTCAGTGTTTGTGCAGCACCATCATCTATTTGCAGCCTATCTTTTCATCATCCT